AGGCTGCTGTAGCTCTCGAAGTGATCGCGTCAATGTGCTTTGTAAAGCTAAGCTTTTGGCCAATGATGACGTCGAGATCTTTGTGGTCCGAAACGCGCTTGAAGGTAAAATCACCGTATTTGTAATTAGTGTCGATGATGTCTTTCCTTTTTGTGGTGATTGTAAGGACGGCGCATTTGTCAAGGTTCAGGTGCAAAGAATTTGTCAAGGTTCAGGTGTAGCACTTCCGCATCCGCGCTCGAGTTGATGATTTTGGCAATTTTTACATCATCAGCGAACAAGGAAATGAACACGTCGTCCATTTCGTCCACTATGTCGTTGATGAACAGGAGAAATAGTGTTGGCCCGAGGTGACTACCCTGTGGTACGCCAGATGATACATTGAATTCGTTTGACTCGCTGCTCCCATACTTAACAAATTGTGTTCTGTTTGACAGGTATGATTCGATCCAAGCAAGAAGATTTTCTGGCAGGTTGAACGATCTGAGTTTCAGAATCAATCTCTTGTGGTTAACTCTGTCAAACGCTTTACTGAAGTCCGTGTAGAGAACGTCTACTTGCGCACCTGAATTTATGCCTCTCTGGGCATAGTAGGTAAATTCGGTGAGATTAGATGCAGTAGATCTGGATTTCATAAAGCCGTGTTGCTTTTTGGTGATTTTGTCCTGTACCAGGGACAGAAGTTTTACGTTCACCAAATGCTCGAAGAACTTCGCCACAGTTTGGAGCTTAGCTATGCAACGGTAGTTCTCTATTTTCGATCTGGCCCCCTTTTTGAAGATGGGTGATACACTCGAACGCTTCCATTTGTCAGGAAATTGGCCAGTTATCAATGATTCGTTGAAAATTTCGGTGAGTGGAGCCGCCAAATGACTCGCACAGTTTTTCAGTATCAACGGGTGCATACCATCCGGACCCGTACCTTTCTTGGTGTTCACGGCTTGTAGCTCTTCAAGCACAAAATTAATGTCGAGCTGGAAATCCTCAGTTTGCTGTGACTCTTCGGTGGGCGATTGTTGAATGCCTTGAGTCGTTGAGTCATCGTAGTTGCTACTGAAGAAGTTAGCGAATAGGTTGGCCTGTTCTGTTTCGCTTGCTGTGCGCACATCACCAAATTGCATGACTTTTGGTTTGTTGTCGGTGCTCTTCTTTGAATTGACATATTGCCAAAATCTCGATGCATCATGCTTGAGCGAGGATTTCATTTTGTCCACGTAAGCGTTGTACAGTTCCGTGTTGAGTTTGTCAAATTCGCGAGACGCCAAAATGTATTTCCATTCATAGTACGGTTTAAAGCCAGACCGTCTGAAGCGTTTCCATGCCTTATTTTTCCTATTTTTTAGTGTTATTAGGAATTTATTTTTCCATGGACATTTTTGTATCGACTTGACGATGTATGTAGGCACAAATTTGATAATTGCATCGTCCAAAATCTTATGCAGCAAGTTCACCTTCTCGATGATTGTCTTTCCATGGAACAACTCGGTAAAATTGACATTTGCCAGATGTGCATTCATGTCCCTGTAGTTGGCCCGTTTTAAGTTGAATGCTTTTGTTGTAATATTGGCTTCAGTCGTATTATTTCCATGCCACTCAAATGTAGCCATTATCGGTGGATGATGATCTTCCACTTCCGTCAGTGCGTTAGCCTCGTTAACACGCTCAATTGAAATGTTGGTAAAATCATTAGTAAAGAACAGGTCCAATAGTCGTTCTTTTGAATCATTACGTACATGATTTACCCGATGAACTCCCATGCTCATGAGTCCCTGGATGAAAGTGGCCGTGTATTCAGGTGCAAATTTAGTTGGAATCATAATGTTGTCGTCGTCGCTGTCAGTTGACCATTCCACATGTGGTAGATTAAAATCACCAACAAAGATAACAACATCTTCAGGATCGGTAGCGATTTTGTGCATAGCTGCTAAATGTGCATCGTAGATTGTTTGCAGTGAATTTGGTGGAATGTATGCACAGTAGATGTAGATGACGTGTGATTTAGTAGTAGCTTTCACACAAACGTATTCCAAATGGTCAGCACCGGCAATTTTAATCTCTTCACTGGCAAACTTTTCGTTTTTGGTTGCAATTAGTACACCGCCCCCACGTTGAAAAAGTCTATCCTTACGAAAAACAGAATATGAATCGTCAAAAAATTCAGCATCATAAATATCATTTCTGAGCCACGTTTCAGTTAATATTATCATATCGTGATCGCAGGAAGCAGTGGTACAAAAGAAGCGTTTGTGTTTGTTGCATATGCTACGACAGTTTTGGTAATAGATTGTACACAAAACGCAGTGTTCGTCCGATGTGCATGACTCTAGTTGCAACATCGGCGATGAAAATCGTGACGATTTCCTTCTTAGTGACCTGTGCAGCCGTTGTGCTGTCTCTTCACGACGGGTTGAGCCTGACGTTGAAGACAACAGCTCTTTTGGCACAAATTTGGCTGGTTGCGTTGGCGCCGACCCCTCTGTGGGCGCTGCAGTGGCCGTTTGTCGCAATGCCGGTTCGATGTAATCAGTGCCGGTTCCAACCGTTGAGTGTTTACTGTGCCACTGGAGTTTTTTGAATTTGGATGAGCGGGCTTTGCTTTCAAATTTTGTAGTTGCGGTCGAATTTGTTGGTTGTCATGAGTTTTGGGACGGTTTGACTTCACAGACTTGACCTGAAATTCGGTGGCTTTAATTTTCTTGGGCCAAATACCTGCCGCTATTACCTTGTCAAAGTGTTGGCGAGGAACATCGAGTTTGAATGACACGAATGACAACTCCATTTTGTTGTCTTTCTTCACGAGCTTGGTTATTTTGAAATCACTTGTCAATGGTCGGACGGTTTCAATGCTATTCAAGTGATTAATAATGTCGGCTGGCTCGGTTGTCGGTAGAAATTCAGTTAAATAAATCGAGCGCATCAATACAGTATCAACGGGCTTTGAATTTGCACCGTTTTGTCCACTGTTCCCGCTGGCATCAGGACGAAAAACCAATTTGCACAGCGGTGAAATGTCACTTTGCTCTTCATCTGGAGAGTTCAGTTCTTCCGAATCAAGTCTCGGTCGCTTGCTTTTATTCCGCCGTGAAATGTTTACATTTTGCAAGTTTCCAAGCGGTAAACCCGAGTTTGACACGTTGTCCGATATTTGTTGCTGAGTTTGAGTTGGTGATGGTGTTTCATCCATGGGCTCAGTACGTGAGTTTGCCGATTTATCGGTTTTGTCCGAGCTCACGGAGCTAATTTCGTCAGGATAAAGTTGTTTGAGCTGGTTTAATTTGGTCCATATTGGCTCCAGCATTGTCAGCAGCTCAGCGATTTGGCTTTTAACCTCACAGTTCGATGTACACATATTTACAGTCAGT